AATTTTAATAAATTCTAAAATATCACAAAATTTACGTGATAAACCCGAATTATTAAAACCGGTTCCAATCTCTAACCTGGTATCGGTTTAACGTTAAAAAACTTTGGCGTGTTGATTATTTCACGTTCCGAACAGAAATCATTAATATTTAAATTTAAATTTAATTCAGATGCTATCACATAGGTGAAATCAAGCACATTAAGCCCTAAACATCTTGCGCGCAATTCTGATATGTATTCTTTACTATATCTTTTCAAAATTTTACCTATAAAAAATATATTAGAATATTTATATTGGTATATTATGCATATAATTACATACGTATAGACTCCGCATATATATCTTCGGTATCTAATAATAACCTATCTATATCAAAAATACAATATTTTATGTTCATATTTTATATGCCTTGAACTGTATAAATTGATATGAACTGTAAACTATTAATATAGTTTTTGATTAGTGATACAAAACAAAAGTAAACTGACTATTTTTAATAAAGAATTTGACAAATGATTCATTTTCCCACACAACAATAAATTACTTGTTAATTTTAATTGATAACTTAAAATAAAATTAATTGCAATTAAGTTTTTGGTAGGTATGGTAATTTTATTATAAAAAAAGACTTAAAAATATATACCTTGCTAATACTAAACTCCCTCCCTTTTCTTATTCGGTAAAATTTTTATTTTTGTAAAATGAAAATGCACACATTTTTCAAAAAATAAATTCTCCCTATTTTAATTCAATTATTTTTAAAAAAAAAATTGCATTAATTTTTAAAAACAAAATTGAATATAAATTTCTGAAATTCAATTGATCTAAATAATAGGCTGTGGGGCTTCCATATAAATATTTTCAGTACAATGTTTACTTTTTATTTTGCTTTAAGAATATATTAACTTGAATATGGTTTAGTAAAGTAAAATCAGTTATTGAAATTCAATTAGTTTGTTGGTAACATGATTTGTTCTAGTAATTTTAATATCAATTAATTTCCATACAGTTCTTGAAATACGTGCTTTCTCTGTGTCTAATTCTATATTTGAGTGCGTGAGAGTGAAAACCTGGAAACCGATCATAGTAAATCATTAAATCGGTTTCCAGGTTTTCACTCTC